AGTAATTTTCGTGGCTACAGTGGAGCCGGTTTTCAATCTCGCCAAAAATGTCGGAATTTCAACCAAGGCCGTTGTACGTTTGGAAGAAAATGCAAATTTGATCATAAATGCTCAAAATGTAATGGGCCACACCCAGTTACAAGTTGTAGAACTTAAAAAGGTTAAACGGGGTGACTTGTCAGATTTATATAAATTAGGAAATTCCCCTATCAATGCTTGTGAAGTCGAAAAATGTTTGTTGGATTATCCGGAAATAACTGCTGTCGCCGAATTGATTCAGGGATTACGTTTTGGCTTTAAACTGATGTACGCTGGACCTAGATTTTCTTTTACTTGTAAAAATTCTAAAAGTGTTTTAAAGAATACAGAGACCACTAGGAAGAAGTTGAATAAAGAAATTGAGCTCGGGCGTATTGCAGGTCCAGTTTCACATCCACCTTTTCCTACATTTCGCTGTTCCCCCCTTGCTCTCATTCCTAAAACAACCGTAGGAGAATTTCGCTTAGTGTTGAATCTTTCATCCCCTACTGGTAATTCTGTTAATGATTTTATTGATCGAGAATTTTGTTCTGTGCGTTATGCGAGTATTGATGATGCGGTCGAGATGATTCAAAAATTAGGAAAAACACACGTTTTGTTGGCAAAAGCCGACGTAAAGTCCGCCTTCAGATTGTTGAGAATTTGGCCAGGTGATTTCGATCAGTTGGGTTTTGAATTTGATGATGAGTTTTATAATGACCGTAATTTGCCTCTCGGGGCAGGTCTCAGTTGTTCCTTATTCGAAAAATTTTCCACGGCTTTGCATTGGTATACGGCAAAGTGCAGCCATTCTAAGAATATTCTGCATTATTTAGATGATTTTGGAGAAGCAGGCACGAACCAGTGTGCCAATTTATTGAAAACATTTACTAATGTATGCCAGAAATGGGGGGTCCCTTTAGCAGAAGATAAAACAGTTTTACCAGTTGAAATTTTAATACTTTTGGGCATAGAATTTGATACTATCGCCATGGAGCTCCGGCTGCCGAAAGTTAAGTTAATCGAGATAAAGCAACGGATTACTGTTATACTTGGTTGTAAAAAAGTAAAGTTGCGTGAACTTCAGTCACTTATGGGTTATTGAACTTTGCTTGTCAGGTCGTTGTTCCAGGCAGGGCATTTTGTCGTCGGTTAATTGATGCAACTTGCAACGTAAAGGAAGCTTGGCATAGAATTCGCGTCTCGTCTGAGATGAAAGATGATTTGCAAATTTTGTTATCCTTTTTAAATGAGTAAAACGGTGTTTCTGTAATGCTAGACTTGCTTTGGACATCAAACGAGACAATCCAGCTATACACTGATAGTGCCGGAGGTTCAAATAGGGGGTTCGGGATTTATTTTGATGGCAAATGGTCGCAAGCTTGTTGGCCTCGAGAGTGGAGTCAGAACGGTATTTTGAGGGACATCACGTTTTTGGAATTTTTTCCAGTCGTCGTTGCTATTCAATTGTGGGGGCGATTTTTAGAGAATAAAAAGTTATTGTTTAATATTGACAATCAGTCAGTTGTAACAATTTTGAATAAAAAGTCATCAAAATCTGCTAGAGTAATGATTTTAGTAAGAAAACTTTTATTTATTTCCCTCAAACATAATATTTTGATAAAGGCTCAGCACATTTCGGGTAGCCGGAATGTAATTGCTGACGCTTTGTCTCGTTGTCATTGGCAGCTCTTCAGACAGTTAGCACCACAAGCAGACAAGGAACTTACTCCAATGCCAAGCCTACTATGGAAATTTTAGACGTGGAAGTTGAAAAATTGGTACAATTTTCGATGGCGAAAATTACATACAAAACTTACAAGACAGCACTAGAGTCGTTAGCAAAGTTAAGCAAGGAATATGACTTAAATGTATCATGGCCTATACAAATTGATGTGTTAACTCGTTTTATAGCTTACTTATCGTATTCTGGTTTAACATCATCTACAATCAATACATACTTATCCGGGATTAGCCATAAACATAAATTATTAGGTGTCACTGACACTACATGTACTTTTATAGTTTCTAAAATGTTAGAGGGAGTTCGAAGGAAGAGTCCCAAATTATCAGATATTCGCGCTCCTGTTACTTTAGAAATTTTGCACAAAATTATACGATCACTCCCATCCGTTTGCTCTTCTCATTATGAATCTTGTCTGTTCGCTTCTGCATTTAGTCTTGCATTTTTTGCTTTATTAAGAATAGGTGAGCTCACGGCTAATACGAGTACAGATATCGGAGCCCACACAATTTTCATTAATGATCTGTCATTGAAATTTTCAAATTGTAAATATGAATTGCATTTGAAGATTTGCAGTTCGAAAGCTGACCAGAGAGGTATTTCAACGACTTTGGTTATTCCTCAAAGGGAGGCAGATCTTTGTCCTGTGAGCATGTTGCGTGCCTTTTTGGGAATAAGATATCCTGCTATTGACAAACCCTTGTATTTACATTTCAATGGGTCTCCATTGACTCGTTTTCAGTTTATTTCTATACTTAAAAAAACCCTGTATTTTTGTGGCGTTAAAGACCAAATCCGATCACATTCGTTTAGAATAGGCGGAGCATCGCATTATAGCAGAATGGGGGCTTCGGATTCAGAAATTAAGAAGTGGGAACGTTGGGTTTCTGATGCATACACGAGTTACATTCGGATTTGGTAGATTTTATAGATACGAAGATCTTCGAAACTGTATTTTAATATGTTTTGAAAAGGTTTAAACAAAACAGGACTTTTAAGAATTTTTGTCATTGTAGAACCCTGTCAAGTTTGGGTCATGGGATCATCTATTGTATATTGGGCGGCCAGAAACATTAAGAGAAGACCAGGGGGTCAAAACCTCGGATTACAGTCAAAAGGTTATAATTTTCATTTGTATGGCCAGCTAGGGATGAAATGGAAAAATTTGTTACCTTCAGTTGAAGAAAATCTTAGATGTTATCCACCTCCACAAATTTTGATCATACATTTGGGTTCTAACGATTTGGGTTTAATCAAAGGAAAAGAGCTTATTGAGCAGATAAGGTTGGACATTATGCGATTACATGTGTTATTGCCAAATCTCTTCTTGGTATGGAGTGAAATTTTGCCTCGTAGATACTGGCACTTGGCAGAAAATCAGGTGACTATCAATTCGACTCTTAAACGAGTTAATGCAGCTGTTCGTAATATATTCAAAGAAGAATTAAATCATGGTCTTGTAATTTGCCATCCAAATATAAAAGCTCAAGAAAGAGATTTGTTCAGGCATGACGGAGTGCACTTGTCAGATGTAGGTAATGATGTTTTCTTAAATAATGTTCAGGGAGCTTTTGAGTTGTTTGCAAGTTCTGACTGTCGAGTATTTCCTACTTGATGAGTTAATTGTATCTTAGTACGGGTAGTAAACTCGTTTCGTTGGGGATGAGAGTGTATAGACCTTCTCATTTGGCGGGATCTGGCAAGATGACAGGGGGGTCATGACCCTATAATTCTACGTTAGACCATTTGTTAAAATATTCTCCTGTGGTACCACAGGGAAGTTGTGTTTTTTTATAAACGGCTTTCTCTTGTTTACCAGAGCGGCCGGTTCATCACTGTTACCAGTTTTGAATTTTATCCTCCGAGTACCGAGGAAGCGTTATTCAAGTTATGGTCTAGCGTCAGTGTGGGGTCGTGCTCCTCGTTCACTCTAATTTTCCTTAGAGGATCTTTTGTTACTTCTGTTACCAGAAGAACACCTACTTGCCAATATTAAAAATGCCGGCGGTTTGTATCGTCTTGCCAGACCTCGTTTACTCATTCAACAATGAGCAAAACATTTACCATATGCGGCCGGTTTTATTCCACACATTATTTCTTGAATTATTTTAATCTTTAATTAAACTAAAGTTATAATGCGAAAACCCATGTGTCTTCGGACGTTGACGACGACGACGACGACGCCAACGTCATACCAATAAATTTTTGCGGTCGTATAAAAACTGTAAGGACAATATATGAAGTGAGCTTTTACTTTCTACGCCAGGACTACGTATATACGATGTGAGTATTATTCTCTGGCAATACCCGTGGAAGGCTTATAAAATTCAAGGTAATTTACAGATCTGCATTTAGAAGAAGGTCGATTTTAATACACAAAGTTAGAATACATATTTAGGGTGGTGGCAAATACAAATAGATCGCCATGGAATATTTAATTATAATTATTTCGGGTTAGGTTCGTTGAAACTAAATCAAGATATTGAACATGTAGGATGAATAAATCCGATTTAATAAAAAAGATAACAGTTTTAATATTAAAATCCAAATGATTCTTTTTGATCACTTTAATAAATTGCTTCGCCGAGCGCAGCTGGATACGACCGCAGAGGTCAAACCCTGAACAGTTGGGGCAAAAATGGACACAATATTCGCGCTTGATACAGGTCTTAATTTGGATTGTAATTAAATATTTGACACATAATAGGTTTCTGACAGAGAATAACTGTAGTCAAAGAACTTAGAATTGGTTATATGATTTGAATTTATATTCATTTTTTTGCTTTTTGTGCAATACACTGTGCTGTTGCGAATTGACCACCCCCCCCCCCCCCCCCAATTTTTTTTTTTCCCACCTTTTTTTTTGCTTTTGTGCAATACACTATGCTGTTGCGAATTGACCCCCCCCCCCAAAAAAAAAAGAAAAATTGCCCCCCTCACAATTTCTTTTTACCCCCCCCCCCCATTTTTTGTTCACCCCTCCCCCTTTTTTCGAAAAAAAAATTCTTTCCCTCAAGATATGGTCATAATCTCAATTCAAATTTCCAATGGAGTTTGCAACCATAATTACCCATTTAATTACATCATAAAAGTCTTAAAATAGAAAATGACATACATAATCATTGCTAAAATTAATATTCCTTAATCAGCATTTTTAAATAGTAACTTCTAAAAATAAATTGACAGCTAATCACCTCAAGACAATACAAAACCCTTGTTTTTCCCCCTTTTTTGCCACTAATTCCTAAACGGTTTGAGCCATAACCCCCCAAAGCCAATCCTAACCATCCCTTTGTGGTATGGAAACTTGTGGTATAATTTCAGAGAGATTCATACACCGTTCCACAAGTTATTGTCTGGAAACTAGAAAAATTCTTATTTGGGCCCCTTTTTGGCCCCTAATTCCTAAACTGTAAGAACTATAACCCCCAAAATCAATCCCAACCTTTATTTTGTGGTTATAAACCTTGTGTTTTAATTTCATAGATTTCTATTTACATTTACTAAAGTTATTGTCCGGAAACCAAATGTCTTCGGATGACGCTGACGACGACGACGACGACGACGTGATACCAATATACGACCGCAAATTTTTTTGCGGTCGTATAAAAACTAAGAAATAATATCGGGGAAACTTATAATCACGTGTTATAACAAGAGCATAAACGCTTATCATTTCTCTCACAAAAAAAACCCCCAGAATTTCATAAAATTGATTTATCTAATTAAAAGCCCATTTGATTCACCTCATACGGTTAAAAATGAACGTGACAATCAAATCGAAATATTTGAAAGCTGGGGATGTGCTTATTGACCAAAAAGTGTTTAATTAATATCGGTAAACTTCTTAGGTCAACTTCGCCTATGCAGAATAGAACAGAGAAAAATACATAGATCGCATTGGAATATTTTGAATACTTTTGCTACAATGTAAATATTCACCTATAAGTATAAAGCTTCGTTCACATGGTGAAAATGTACACTTGACAGTAAATCAATACGAAATCGCACAAAAATCATTCAACACCGACGCAAGTTTTAAACGATAAACGGGTGCTCTTTTGGTAGAACTTGGCCGTTTCAACATGCAACAGTTCTTTGGGCTACTTCAGCTAACGATCTTCCACTTTTCCCCAATAGAACAAAATGTTTTTGATTTCTAAAATCGTTTATTATTCAAAACTGTTAAATATTCATTGTTAAAGAAAAAACACTGTAACTCTATTATAATCAAATCAAAATGAGGAGTTTACTTTCGTAATAAAAAAGGGAAGTTTTCATGATTCAAAGTGGTCACCGTGTATCATCAGTACAGCGGATATAGGTACTAACCAAGCGGGCGTGATCGATTTTGACCTTATACGGTAACGAAAATCTTTGTTTTGTTCACATAATATTAATGTGTACTTCAATCTAAACATAATTGTTGTTCTAAGAAATGATTTGGTCGTAGGTTGATGATTAGAGATGTCTCATTATTTTCCCAAAACAAGAACGATTACTAAAAACATGTACAAATACTTGTCAAAGAAGTTGGCACTCGTCTCATCCGATATTATTCTATTTTCATTGCAACTCTTTTTCTGGTAGAAGGCAACTGTGTGTGTTTAATAAGTATAGGTGTTTCAATAATTGGCATTGAAATCTTTCATGCATATGTTTTTTTCGATATTTTATTACGAAAAGAAGCGTTGTGTACGGTGTTTAGCTGACCACATAAATCCTTCTGTACGGTGCATAGTTAAGTTGTTGTACACCGTACACAAAAACTAAATTTTCATACTCGTTTATTACCCAAAAAGTTTCAAGGAATGAGTAATCACAGGTAGGTTTATGATTGGTAACTATTACTTTTGCCATGTATTAGCTTTCTTTCAGATAAAACATGTAAATGTCTCGACAATTGTATCGAAATTGAAAGTTGGTGTTGACTATTTGCGCATTAACAAGTTAATTGTTCTTATTAGAATATCAAAGTTGTGTTATAAATAGGAAAAAATCGATGTGAAAATTATATTGGAGCAGGAATTTCAGATGTTGAGAAATGTGCACTGAATGTTGATAAAACAAAACAAAGATTTTCGTTTCTGTGTCAGTTCAAAATCGATCATGCCCGCTTGGTTAATACCTATACCCGCTGTACGATGATACACGGTGGTGGTAAGATTTGATATTTATTCAATTCTAAATCTCGAATATATATAGAAATTAAAACGGTAAAAGGGGCTGTAATTATAAATGTTTTAAGCTCGGCTGGAATATTTTAATCATATATTATTCAGTGCAAGAAAACGTTAGTGATTTGTATTAGAATGACAGACCGGAGGAATCGTATTCAGTGTGCTGTGTACGTATCTTGCAAGGTATCATAGCTGTCCTTTGCAAGACTGACATTCACATTCTTTAGTTAGTCACATTATTTCAACCCTAAACAGACGTCAATACTCTTTAATATCATCTAAAGTACTTAGAAGACAAGCCGTATTTTAAAAATTTCTATGATTTACTGTAACTTGACTGTTAGTTTTGCTCTCCACCTATTGCAACTTATTCATAATTCTGGCCAAATTGCAATTTGTTTTATAAAACCAAATTGTTCAACTGGTCAGAAATTTGAACAAACTGCTGTAGAAAACCACAGTCAAGTCGTGAACGTGCAAGGTGATAAATAAAGCATACTTACAATCCTATAAGATTTTAATTCCACTTCAATGTTATGCTCTCAGTCTAACAGTTTGTATAGAAATTTTATTGTTATTGTCATGCTAAAGGTGATGGATAGAAATTTTGAATTGCTATAAAAATGTCCAAACTAAGCTTTCATACAATTTTTCTTTCGAAAAGTCTTCTATATTCATAAGAATCAGACATCATTTGAAGTAAAACATCTTATATTCAGTAAAATATATGTGAAATTACAATACGTTGTTAATAAGTTTCCATGGGAGATAACCTAAAACATTATTCTTTTGAATATAGAAGACTTTTCGAAAGAAAAATTTATTATCTCCCATGGAAACTTCCTAACAACGTATTGTAATTTCACAGGAGAAGATTTTTGTAAAAGTAAACGACAGACGACGGACGACAAGTGATAAGAAAAGCTCACTTGGCCTTTTAGGCCAGGTGAGCTAAAAAGGCAGGATGACAATTTATGTAAAAAAAAGTCAGGATAAACTAATAAAATAAATGTGGATAGTGTCCACATGTGGACACAGATGATGCCCCCGCTTGCATATCATATAGTTATAAAGGAACATAACTGAAGAACGGTAATAGTGACGCTACCCAAATTTGAACTTGATCTGAGTTTTGTGGTAATAAGCATTGTGTGTAAGTCTCATAACATTTGGTTGAGGCTAACTTAAGTAGAGAACAGAAACTGAAAATTCAGCAATTTTTCTATTTGTTAACACGCATAACTCTAGAACGGTTGTGTATAAGTTTTATCACATTTGGTTGAGACAAACTAAAGTTACAGAACGGAAACGAAAAATTCAGCAATTTTTATGTTTATAAATGGACATAACTCGAGAATGCACTACAAAAGTCAAAAATTCTGAAAAGACCAATTTTTGTCTGAATTAGCATGAATTTTTACTCGACATTCTTTCTTTGTCTGAATTATTTTAAATAAATGTGGATAGTGTCCACATGTGGACACAGATGATGCCCCCGCTTGCATATCATATAGTTATAAAGGGACATAACTGAAGAACGGTAAAAGTGATGCTACCCAAATTTGAACTTGATCTGAGTTTTGTGGTAATAAGCATTGTGTTTAAGTTTCATAACATTTGATTGAGGCAAACTTAAGTTGAGAACAGAAACTAAAAATACAGCAATTTTTCTATTTGTATACACGCATAACTCTAGAACAGTTGTGTATAAGTTTTATAACATTTGGTTGAGACAAACTAAAAAATTCAGCAATTTTTATGTTTATAAAGGGACATAACTCAAGAATGGTAAAAGTGTCGGCACCTTATTTCGTACTTAATCTGTATTATGTAGTAATATGCATTGTGTATAAGTTTCATAACATTTGGTTGAGGCAAACTAAAGTTAGAAAACGGAAACAAAAAACTTGTACTTGATCTTAGTTTTGTGGTATTGAACATTGTGTATAGGTTTCATAATGTTTGGTTGGGGCAAACTTAAGTTACAGAATGGAAACTAAAAATTCTACAATCTTTCCATTTATAAAGGGGCATAACTCAATAATGGTTAAAGTGACACTACCCAAATTCAACTAGATCTGTGTTTTATCAGTGGAGGTCAAATTAAACATTGCAGCAAACTAAAGTTAGAAAACGGAAACAAAAAACTTGTACTTGATCTTAGTTTCGTGGTAATGAATATTGTGTATAGGTTTCATAATGTTTGGTTGAGGCAAACTTAAGTTAGAGAACGGAAACTAAAAATTTTGCAATTTTTCCATTTATAAAGGGGCATAACTCTAGAACGATTAGAGTGACGCCACCAAAATTCAAACTTGATCTGTGTTTTGTGGTAATCAGCATTATGTACAAGTTTGATAACATTTGGTTGAGGCAAACTTAAGTTAGGGAAAGGAAACTAAAAATTTTGCAATTTTTCCATTTATAAAGGGACATAACTCTAGAACGGTTAAAGTGACGACACCAAAATTCTAACCTGATCTGTGTTTTGTGGTAATAAGCATTGTGTATAAGTTTCATAACATTTGGTTGAGGTAAACTCAAGTTAGAGAACGGAAACCAATTTCGGGACGTACGAACGGACGTACGTACGTACGTACAGACGGACAAGGGTAAAACTTAATGCCCCCACCGCTACGGCGGGGGCATAAAAATTCTTAACAAAGTATGAATTTGTCTAATAAAGTTCTTGATTTTTCTTCACTAATGTCTTGACAGTATTAACATTGTCTAAAAATTTCTCAACACTTTCTGTATCATCTGATAAGAGTCTTGATTAGTCTCGACCAATTCTTGACTGTCTTAAATTTGTCTCGATCAGTCTTGACATAGTCTTGACATTCTAAATAATGTCTGAATATGTCTTGACATATTCTTGACATTCTTAATAATGTCTGAATATGTCTTGACTTTCTTGATAATGTCTGAATATGTTTTGACACATTCTTGACAGTCTTAAAGCTGTCTGAATATATCTCAACACATTCTTGATGGTCTTAAAGATGTCTTGACACTATCTCAACAGTATAAATTTTGCCTTAATTGTGTATAGACACATTCCGCACTGTTTAAACGCTTTCTTTTGCTGTTATATACTCATTTTTATCATGGCTAAACTAAACTTAGAATTAGGATACAATAATACTAATGCTAATTATAAAAAGCAACATTTTGGTACAATAATTGTTAATTTACTATATTAACATTGAATATTATGCATAAAGAATGAAATATGTCTACAATATGATTGGTTTTAATCATTTAGCAATTATTTATAAGATTTATGAAACAACATTTATTATTATTCACAAACCCATATTTAAATTGGTTTATATCAACATACCCACATATGTATTTGTTAATATCTTAAATTTCATACACATATTTGTATTCATAAAAATATCTATATACCCAAATTTTTAATTATAAA